CCAGGCATAGGGAGATCTCCTGCGTCTAATATTCTTCTTATTTTACCAATTTGAGTCCCATAATATGCTACATGCCACTTGTCAAGAACTTGTAACGATTTGATTCGAGGAGGAAGCCTGGTAACGAAACGATGATGATAGACATGATTAATGATTACACTAAATAATAATGATGATATTGATAAATTATTCACCCTAATCCAAACTGACACCAYCCAAGTGGCTGCGCATATCGTCGTGCTGGATCACCGCTGACCTCGTACTGCTTTTCTCCCCGTGCTTCATGACACGCTTGACAATAACACACGTTGAGTTTTGACTCTTGACTAAAATAGCCATCTGAAGAAAGAATTGATTGACAATGCTTACGTATTAAGTAATCCTCGCGCATGCTCAATAGAATATATACTGGGTACCGCTTCTTGGCGCGGGATAAAGACATCATCTCGGTACTCGTAGCGAATTTACCTGGTAAAGCCAGCGTTGATCTGAATCGTTCGCACAGCAATCGGTAATCACACGGTCCTTTGTTCTGTTCCTCCATTACCTCTGCCGTCTTGTTCTCGTCTTGCAGTTCACACGGACTGTTCTGGTCAGCGGTAGGTACTATACAGACTTCCTGACAGCTGCCATAGAGATCTACAACTACGTAACGTTTTGATGGTAAGGCCTCAGCCACCACGCCTTGGTCTTGACCGTTTATGAAAATATGGAGCCTGGAATCTTTATCGATGAGCATTCCWACAACGTCGCCGACACTGAGGCGATCGAAACCAGGCTCAAGACCTTCAAATACCTACATTTAGAAATGAATGAATCGATGGATAAATCGATGAAAGATTCGTTGAATAAGTGAAAGAATGAATGGATATTGAATGAATGAAATAAGAAATGAAAGGATGAATATAAAAATAGCATAAGAATGGATGACTGAACAAATGAATGAAGGAAAAACTAATGAATAAATGAAGCATAAAGATTCATTTTTTTATCACAACTATTTATTCGGAGACACTGACGCAGCTCCGATGAAGCACCGACGCAGCTCCGATGAAACACCGACGCAGCTCCGATGAAACAACGACGCAACTCAAAGTTTATCGACCAGTAATTTCAAGCATAGAAAATTCAAGAATAAATGACTAAATGCTGACCTTGTTCCCGTTGATATAAACTGCATTATTCACAACGATCCAAGGACAAACCTTCATGCAATTTGACATGGACGGCAGGTTGAGGGAGTCTGGTGTCTGGTCTGTAATGCCCATCATCARTGAACCAGACCATCGAATATCCAACTTCGTGATTCGAATCTGAGAAAAACGAGTGAGATTAAATAAATGGATGGATTAAATAAATGTATGAACGAAAGGCAATTTCAAACGGACAAAATGACAGACTTTATGAATGAACAAAGGATGAATATATCATAATGACAATTTACCAGTATAAATTCTCAACCATTRTAATAGTATTATTGACAGCTGTCAATCATCACATACCTGAAAGAGATCGTTATCACGTAGCTGTCTATCACTGACCACGACGCCATGATTGTAGCTTGCAACACGTCGGGCCAGCATTCGCTTGTTATCTAGTCGAACGTGTTGCCCGCAAAGACGGGTAAAAACGTAACTACAAAAAT